TTATCGGAAAGGAGTGATGGGGGGGGATTCTCTCCCCGGAAAGAGGCCAGATCGGCGCGGGCTTGCGATCTCGACGCGGAAGATCGAAACGGAAGCGAACCGTGCTCTTCCGCGCGATCGATCGGGATACGGATGGAACGAGGAGAGATCGATCGCCGCGTGCCGAGTGTCGAGGTGCGAAGGGATATTTTGTAAGTGCTTAAAGAAAAAAAAAAGTATAATAGAAACAGAAGGAAACTTAAGCTGCGTTCCCGGATGACTGACAATTGTGACTTAAGGACCGCGAAGGAAGGAGGTAGTCTTACGTTTTCAGTACCGATCACGCGAGAGGAGGATGTGTATAAACGGATGGAATGAGAGGAGATAAAAGAAAACGCGAACGAATGGACTTAAACATACGTATATACATGTACGCGCGTACGTGTGCCGCGCGTATGCATACGAGAGAGTGTGCGAGAGTGTGAGAGAGAAAGAGATCGCGGAGACCGCGAGAGAGATATGATGATTATTACGATGACGACCGGGCGACTCGATATTTGCATGTGTATATATATATATATATATATATATATACAATGTACCCCGTGACTTTTATTGACGACGACTGCATTGCTCCCCTGACAAAGGCTCGTATATACATGATATAGTTGTATTTGCAATTATTACCTATACATATATATAAATATTATATATATATATATTATATTCACTAATTAAAGTATACAAAGCGAAAAATGCGAGTAAAGAGGAACTATATTGTTAGCAAGGGAAAAAAAAATTCGCAGGCCCGCTTTCGGGGTTCGCTCGCGCGGAGCGCGCCGTGCTCCCCCTCCCCCCTTCGCCCCTCTTTCCGCGGGGAAATCGCGCGGATCGGTTTACGGGGACTTTTCGCGGATTTTTTCCCTCCCCTCCGTTGTGGACTCTCCGATGCACTTTGAGCTTTCGTCGACGAAAATTCGCTCGCGTTACCCCGCTTATCGTCGCTCCGCGTCGCGTACCGCAGCTACGCGTCTCACCCAGCGAGATTAGGTTTTAAACTAAGACTCAAGGCTGTGGCCATCCCGTGTACACTCCATTCCGCGCAACGGCAATCTAATTATTTAATTAGTCCTCTTAATTATATTAGGTAGTAATTTATGGGGGTGAATCGGAGAGTTTTTCATCCGGTCGCGCGCGACACATTTGCGTTCTCCGTTCTCCCTCTTCCTCGCGCCTTTCCGCTGCGCGACACGTTACCGTCGGCCTTATCTCGATCGTGCGTCTTCGATTTTGTGCAATCATTGTGCTCGCGTGAACGGCTACCGCGGGCGCGACTTTTCCTAAGGACTGTTCGAATGTTCCTTGTCTTCTGTCACGGTCGATCGTAGCGATCCCTCCAGGAGCTCTTCAGCCCTCCAGATCGAGATCCAACCCTACTTCCTAGTCCTTTCGTTTTCTAAAAGTAGCTCTCTCTCTCTCTCTCTGTCTCTCTGCATGTACAGCAGAAAATCGTGCAGCTGAGTTCTAATCGAGAACGGGATTACAATAGTTTTTATCTCATTTCTAGCGTAGCGCGAAACCCTCGTGGCTGACATTCGTCGATTTTTTTTTTCAAATCCGAAACGTTCGATTGTTCGCGTTGTCAAGTCAATTTTTTTTACCGCCTGTTTTCAAACGGAAGCGATTTGAAAAAAAAAAATAATGTCAACGTCGATGCCAGCGAAACGCGAGATCTTTAGTGGGTCGTAAAAAAATTTAACTATACTCTTAGCTACTCACGCGGCACGTGACGGGGGAAGGGAGAAGGACGGGATTTTCGCACACGATATTTATTTTGTCGCCACGTGAAACGCTCCTGGTTTCCGTGCTCCATTTCCTCACCTTTCGAATCCGCGAACTCCTACGTCAATTTCTCTGCCATAAACTCCCCACGGATATACATAGTCGCCCCAAACGCCACCGGCGAGCTCTCTCCGGCCAGCCTCGAGGCCGAAATTCGCGCGCCGCGTTCGAACTATTTCTACCCCGCGACGAATCGTTCGGTGCCCTTCCTCGCGTGTCGGCGCGTATCCGTTTCGCGATTTCCCCGAAATAACGTACTTTCGTCGCGAGCCGTGCGCTCCCCGTCTCCACCCCGAACGCGGGCCATGCTCCGTGCTTCTGTTTGTTCGTGCATGAGAGAAAAAGCGCGGGGAAAAATTAGCCGCGCGACAAAAAAAAAAGAAGAAGAAGAAGTGAGTGACGATAACAGTGACAAGACGAGGGCAAGGGCAAGGCAAGAGTGGGAGGGGGGTGGGAGAGGAACAAAAAAAGCGGGGCGACACGATGCGACCGATAATTCGCGTTCGACGAAAAACGACGGCAGTTGAGCTGCACACAATGCGTTTGAGAGTGCGTAAAGAAAGAGCGATGATGCGTGTGGAGCGTGTATGCGTGTCCGGCACTGTCGGCAGACGGATCGTCCGTTCGTCCGTCCGTTCTGCCTGCCTCTGTGGTTGTTCGCCAGCGATCACGCGCGCCGAATATAATACCGATAACGTGGATTTGCGCGCGCCGAGTTGTGTACATATTATAATTGTGGGACCGCGGATTCGAGCGCGTAGAATCGGCGGGCTTTCTTCCCCGTCCTCCGGCGTTTCTCTGTTTTTACTTTCTTTCCCCATTTTGTTAAAACTAATTTAATTTGTACATAATTTACTCCTCTCTCTCTCTCTCTCTCTCCCCCCTCCTCTCTCTTTTTTAACGAATGTAAACCTTCGTCGTTGTTAATCCTCCAGTTGCGTTGAATCCGAGTTGCGTGTCGCGCGAGTGAGAGAGGAAACAAAGAGCGAGCGGGCTTCTATTCGTTGTTGTTGTGTGCGTGTGTGCGTCGCCTTTTGTTATCCGCGCGGGAAACTTTGTTTGTGTAACGTGTGTGGATCGAAGAGGCGCGGGTCTGTTATAAGATGGTTTCGCGAGAGGAGATTTCACGCCCACGGCTGTGCCACACGGGTTTTTCGAGGGGCTCCGAGAAAAAGAGAGTGAGCCGAAATGACGAACGCGCGCCGTCCGCCTCGCCGACGAGCCGCGACGGACTCGTATTACGCGCGCGGCGAATTCATTCGATTTTTGTATTATTAGCGAGTTAATTGATTCCGAATATCGAGCTCTCCCGCCTAAGCGGCGAGGCGCGTTACGCGTTACGAAATGATCGGGGCGAAGCGAGCTCTGCACGCCGCGAGAACGAGTCGAGAATGTGCCAAGAAGGTCCCCCAGCCCGGCATCCGACGATTTCCGTCCCGCGTACGCGCGACACAAGTTCCGCGGCGCGGCTCTCGCTTCCTCGGCGCGGAAGCGAGAGCCTCGCCCTGGTCCTCTGTGTGTCCTCCGCGAGTGTGTCCCAAAACAGCAATCTTTCTGTCCATTTCTCGCGAGAGTCGCGTCGAAGTATTGCAATGTATGGTACAGGATATCCGAGACGGCCATCGCGGGAGAAGATCCCGGACGCGTGTCGCTCGAGGAATGAATCTTTCATTCATTAATATTAATACCGTCGTCCGGGAGCGACACGTTGAGGGCATCACATCTCCTTGTCAAGGGCAGACCGTCCAGATTCTTGTCGTCTGTCACGCAAAATCCGTCGCCGAAGGATGGTTCCCGGATATCCTGTGAAATTAAGCGAACGATTTAGGCATTCGAAGGAACACCCTGGCACGCCGTCGACTCGTCCCGCGCGGTAGTCGAGCTCGTCCGCAGACGTGCGAACGTGGCGCGAATCTCGTCGAGCTCGTCCGAGAGAGAGAGACATAATTCTCTTCCGAATTTGTGATTTCCGAGGGGGAAAAAAAACCGAGGTAAGATCGCCGAGAAACGCGAAAGGCGGGCTCAATTCTCCGATTCCTTAGAGGGAGCGCTCCGTAAAAGAAAAGAAAAACGCAAAGATCGGCGCCGCGCGGTGCCGGGTTGATCGCGGTAAAAATTAACATAAAAGAAAAATAATAACTATATTTATTCGAACGACTTGCCAAGTTTTGTTGCATAGTGTAACGCGAGGTTATATAAATTTAGACGGCAGTAAAGAAAATCATATAAAAAAAAGAAGGTAATAAGGCGGTTAACGGATGGTTATACGAATGATCTGGCGGGATTTAACGGAATATAAGTTGCATAGCTATTGTGAACAGTTTTCACGAAATATTGATGTATATATCTTAAGTTTGTATTATAACTCTCCCCACACTTAATTTGTATGAAATGAAAGAATTTCGAACATTAAAATCATGAACGAAAGAAATTGCCTCCTACTTTCTCCGCCTGCGGCCTGGATTTTCTCCTCTTTCCACTTTTAACTATCGGCAATAAAAATAAGACTCGGCCAAACTTCGATTAACTTAATCGACGGCTAATTCAATCGGCAGAAATTACTCGCGGCAAAAATTTCAAATCGTCTTATTTGCCGTCTTTAATCTAATCTTTCTCTACCGTGCGTGTCAAACTATAAAACAAGATAATTCTGGCTGTATTAACGAAACATATATTGCTCAACAAGTTATCGGAGATTTGTCGAAACGTCACGTCCATACATGTGAAATGTTCGCGTCTAATATTTAAAAAAAAAAAAAGATCTACTGTGACCGGAGAAACAATTTACGCGTAGAGTAAAGTGTCTAATACAGATGCAAATTGAAGATAATTGCGTTCAAAGTCCAATTAACTCAATCGGCGATTAACTTATTACCTATTTTGTTAATGTTATTATAAATAGAACTAATTTTCTGTTGGTTTAACACACGGAAATAAAGATTAGATTAGGAACGACGAGAGTGATACGGCTAGAAATTTTGCTCCAGGCTAATTCTGTGCCGATAATTAATCGTCGATTAAACTAATTGGAGCTTGGAGCCGATAAGGGTGTGATACCTCAGGCGAGATATTGTCGGGTAAATCGGGTGTGCTTTCGCGTCGGACGCGAGGGCTTTCATTATTACGACGCAGGAATGCGTGCGCAATTCACGTAGGGCTCTCACTCACACATGTTTATTTTTACGTTCGCGCGCATGCACCCACGACGTCGGGAAACGTCGGGGTGGACATGACAGGTGCTCGTCTGCTCCGCACGACGATTACATTCGAGAAAACACCCCGAGGACGAGCCCTTTAGGACGGACCCTTGGGGAAATTAATCGATCGACGACGTCACTCACCACTTCATTGTCGCGAGAGAGTCGTTCCTCAGGTCTCTCCTACTTCTGGAAAACCGGGAAATACTAATGAATGAAGCTATGAATGCGCAGGAGGCAGAGGTGAGTCTTATCTCTGAAGCTTTTACAATCGTGCTTATCAACGTTGTGTGCCGAGGACCAGATAACAATTCCGAGAGAAATCGCGCGCCTCTATCGAGTCCCATTCAATCGTATCGCACGGCAAGAGACGTGGGGGTTCTGTCATTAACCTCCAAACACAAATCTATGTATATATGTGTGTGTGTGTGTGGTGTGTGTATGCGTATATGTGTACATGTATGTGCATGATGCAAAGTAAATTGACAAGGTGTTTTTCTTTATTTAGGACTTTACTCCACTTAAGGTGGAGCACCTTAAGCAGCAGGGAAACGCATGTGTTAGGGAGAAGAAGTACCAGAAGGCAATGCTTCATTACTCACAGGCAATCAAGCTGGACCCAAAAAATTATTCTCTCTACAGCAACAGATCCTTCACCTTCCTAATGCTGGAACGGTATCGCGACGCCTTGAACGACGCTCTGATGACGATTCGACTGAAGCCTGACTGGTCGAAAGTATGTAGAATACAAGAGTTTCTTTGGGTATTGATTTTAAAACGAGGGACAAACATCTCAATGCGTTCATCTGTTTCAGGGTTACTTTAGGAAGGGCGAGGTTGAACTGAAACTGTCCTCCTACAATGAAGCGCTTGAATCTTATAACAAGGCTCTGTCCCTGCAACCAAACGAGCCTAAGATTCTAGAGGCGATGAACAAAGCGTCCAGGTCGTTGATTAAAGACAGAAGAGGTACTTGGTACAGAGAGAGAGAGAGAGAGTTATCTTGGAACTATGAAAATTGGAACGTAATGAAATAATGTTTCACAGCTGATCAACAGATCCCGTGGCTCGGAGCTGGCATTGGTATTATATTAGGAGTCGCAATCGTGATCGCCGACTACGTCTTTACAAAGCCCACTCTAACGGTATTGATTCGTACTTTGTACTTTTAAATTATTACCAAGGTGGTAATAATTTAAAGTTGTAGTTACATCACTCTCATCCCTTGCCTTTACCGTCTGCGATATAATTCTTTTGTATTCTGCTGCAGCATCCCCTGTTGATGGCGTTGTTAACGATGTTCATAGCTGTACTCGGCTTTGGCATCGCAAAGGGAATCCGTTACTTCCTAAAGCACCAAAGAAAATCAGTCCTGATAGGAGACTTTCCTCACTGCTTGCTAGAAGCCAACGAATTGGATGATATCTACGTAAAAGAAAGTACCGATACAAAGAAAAAAGTACGATAAAGTACAAGTATGAGGCAACGATTCTGCAAAGAAAAATCATAGCTCTTTTTGATAATTTATTTCAAAACAATAATTTAAATTAGGAAATACAATAACGTTTCGACGTTATTAATATATATATGTATGTATGGGCGGACAAAACTACTTTTTAACTATGACTAGATTTATCATTGAACGCTGCTATATTGTTTTGAAAAAAAATTGGCATATTTTATATATTTATTTATTGTATATTATTTTATATATGTTTTATATTATGTTCATTATTATGTTTCTTATTTTTAGTTTTATGAAAGCATGTGTAAAGATATTTTATATAAAATTTATATAAAAAAAATAGAGATTAAGTCGTTAATGAATTTACTATACATACATTTCTTCACAGTGACGAATAGTTCGTACAGACTGCAAAAGATAACTGCGATGAAACATAAATTAATAATTCATTATACACACATTGTCGGTATAAATTATCATATTAACTCATGACGAAGTATGAGTATATTTTCTAAGAATATTTATTCGAGGCGCTAATAATATCATATTTGCATCACATTTGCATTTCTTCACAAATTAGAAAACTTGCCAGTAAGAAACATCGTCTTTCGTCATTGATTCTCTACAACGAACAATAAAAAGCAAAAGAGTGTCAAACGTAGTATTAAAATAATATGCCTGCGCATGTGTGCGTGCGTGTGTGCGTGCGTGTGTCACATGTCTTTCTACCTTCTGCACTTTATAATATTAATATCGAGCGTGAGTAGGGAACACACCTCTTTAAAGATCTCAATTATTAAAAATTATTAAAATAATGTATTTGAATATATTTAAGTTTTCCGACTGGACACATCGTCCGTTTGAGCTCGTGAAGACTAAAGATTCTCTCTACTTAATAACCTTACACATATATATCTGCTAAGTATATCTGAAAGCATTTAAGTGCACTGAGCATTTGAACTGTATAGTATATCCACTATATAATAGTGTATCTGCTTATAGTTCATAAGTTATATATCGACGACACTTGTCCCACGATTTGAGTGCGCCGGGTGTTACACATACGTTTAACATATACATGCAGCCTGTGTGAACTATGAACCGCATTATGCATCCGTTTACGATATCGCAATAAAGTTACTCGGAATAAAGATGAAATTGAAATTCACCACCGATACAGATATCCGCACGCGGCCTCTCTTGATCCCTGAAACGCCGCACGTCCTTCGAAACTTGTCGTTTTATGTTCCACTCGCGTGCAACCGAATATTACGCAATACGGGAAAGTAACAAACGGCGAAAATATCCGCGGTGCGACGGGGCGAGAAGTAAAAGGAGATTCACCGTGCGGGTTTTAGGTCGGACGCTCGGTGAACATTTGCGAGGTAATTTGTATCTTAAAAGTAGCAGGAAGGGAGAGAAGCGTAAAATGAGAACGAGAGTTCTTCAGAGCTGCTAATTAAGTCAAACAGCTAAAGAAATCAATACAACAGATGATATTATACTGAGAACGATGTAAAGAGATGGCAACATAAATATACAATTTCAACAGGAATACATAAATATATAATTTCAATGAGAACGCAACGTTTTTAATAAATTAAAAATCAATAACGTCTTTCTGTGGCGGAACATGTGTGTGAATAGTTTAGAATAAATCAATATCGGTTGGGTGTACAAAAAAAAAACAAGGAAATTGGCGTACATCGGAGAACGATGGAGAAATACACGTTTTCATTTAATTTACAAAATCGTATTGAAATAAGCCTCGTACACGTCCGACAAGTAAAACGCACTTTCTGTTTCTGGAATAACTTTCTGTTACTTCGCTGGATTTTTGCTTTCTACATTTTAAAGTATGTCTAGCACCTCCTCCCCCTTTCCCCCCTCCCCTCTCTCTTTCTCTCTCTCTCTGCGTTTATCTACCTCATACACGCGATCCTGGTATGCGATTATTCTCTCACGCGTGCATATTATTGCGGTTCGCGGCATAGATAGAAGAAATAACTGGACCGCAACTCGTGTAGGGCGTAACAAACAAAGGGGGGAACAATGTCGTTGGCGCAAACAACGCGCGCGTTTTGCAGTAAATGTGAAGTAATTGTTAAAAGCATCAAGAACGATTTGGACATTATAAATCGATTGTATTTTCACATCCAATAGCAATGTTTTTGTCAGTGTTTTGCTATAAAAAAAAAAAAAAACTCAAGTGACCAACTTGTATTTCGCTCCCATGGATCCAGGCTAAAAAAAAATATGCAACGCTTCGTTACGGAAACCATACAAACCACGTGGCGTAGATAATCAGGCTGCACCTGATTATATCTTTCACGCGTTGCCCAAATAGACAGTCTTCTTCTTTCTTTTTTGCTTCCATATCAAGTTCCCCTGTTGACGTTGGCTATTATTCTAGAAAGAGCTGTTCTGACTATGCAACTTATCAAAAGGCTAGGTAGATATAGCCTTTTTTTTATGCTCCTACTCGGAGTCTATTCAAAGTAACGGTTAAAAGAGAATGTCCGCAAGAAAAGGTGGTCATTAAATTGTGATAATATAATATCGTGTCGGGATATTAACGATAAGATAAGGCGTATATACTTGTACTTTGTAGTAAGAATCTAATCAGCCGTATTAATGACGAAATTGCACAAATACTAAAATTCCGACCTCTCCTGAAATTCCTGCACCGAGAAACTCCGATCGCGCAAGAATAATAGTGGAACCTTCGAAAATCGGCGGAGCATAAATCGGCGCCCCGGGCATTCCGAGATTTGTTGTAATTTTATCGTGCGATAAATATTGCTGCAATGTTAAAACTTTTATTGCTATATAAAGTTCTCTTTACACATGTGTATATCTGTTAATGGGTCGAAAGACAGGTTCATTACTGCTCCGCCGCCGCTTCTCAGCTGCTTCACAAACAAACGTACGCCCCCGTGCAACTTGCACGACCTCAGGCGCAACAATGCGAGTTACATTCATGAAGAGGGCACACGACCGAGGGAGTTGTATTCATAAAGGCGAGATAAATCAGCCGATTGGCTCCGAGCTTCGTTTTTCACGGACGAGAGATAAGGCGGCTCTCTCTCCCACCCGCGCGCGGATATATTTCGCAAAGCAACAAAGAAACCCCTCTCTCCCACCCCCACCGCCCCCTCCACCGTTTAGGAGATCCGTACTTTCCTCGACGTTACTCCGGCGCGTTCCATGAGCGGATTATTAAATCTTGCGCGTTTCCCCTGCGAACACAAAATGGCAAAATGGCGTGTCCCAGTATTTCCCCTCCTCTCCCTCCACCACCCTCCCTGTTTTTCTCTACGTAGCGCGTACGGCTCGCGGGCCCCCGGTCCAGTTATATCTTACGTTCGTGTGGCTCGTGGTAAAACATGACTGCAGGATTGAAGTTGGCACGGCCACTTCTCTCTCTCTCTCGGAACTTCAGAACCACGAGCGAGCGAGCGAGCGAGCGAGCGCGCGCGCGCGGGCGCGTCACTCATACGCGCGCCCGAAGATCCTTTATATTGCGAGCGATGATGCGCGAATCGCCAATGATAATGCAATCCACAGAAATAGACTGTCGAATACATATTTCTCGTCTCCGCGCAATTCCGTCGCGATACAATTTGCCAGACCAGAGGACGGACGATATACATATTTATTACGTTGACGCGACGCGACGGATTGTTCGGGTGGATCGCAGGTGTCTCGCGGCCCGCCGTCCGTGCGTAATATTCGCGACGAGTTCCATTATTTTTATTCGACGCATCCGTCGATGCCTTCCGTTCGCACGGAAGAAGTGGAACGAGCCGCAGGAAAACATCATATACTCCTCTTCTCGGCGCCTGCCTTCACGCGAATCGGCAGAGCGGCGTCACGTCGCGGTCGCGTGTAATAGCGTTTTTCGACTCGCCTGCACGCGAAATCCTGCGAAATCCCGGATCTCGTTCTCTCGGGAACCACGAGTGGCCGACGCGCGGGGGCAATCGAGAGCGGCGCGGAAAATTGCAGCGGAGTCGCGTTTTTCACGCTCGCCGCACCGAAACTGTTGACGTCACTCGCTGCACGGAGTAATAAATCTCTCACGCTCGTATTTCGCGCACGCGATAGGCCGGGGCGACGACGGCGACGTTACATGTATGTACTGCAGTGTACGTCCACGATTCCGTCGAGCGGAATTGCATGATCGCGCGAAGATGAGACGTCCGGTCGCGATCGACCGACGTGGCCACGAGCGTGGCCGGCCGTTGTCGCAGGCACGCCGCGTAGCGTTTCGGCGTCGCGCCGCGCCTCGTGACACTCGCCTCGCCTCGCTGCGGAAAATGGCGACGAAATCTCGGCCTGGAGGCGTCTCGCGGACGACGAACCGTTTTTGGGAGCACCTCGGGATCGGGAAAAGGGATCCACGCGGAAGGGGTTAGGGTGTCGGCGAATGCGGAGGCGTGTCGCGCAAACACGTCGTCGTCGTCGTCGCTGCCGCCGCGAGTCGTCCCGGAGAGTCCCACTCTCGCGCGAACGGAAGCGGTGCCTCTCGAGACGGAATCGCGGCTCGCCGTCGAGCGGACGACGCGGAGGACTCGGGGAAGTTTCTCACCGGAAAGGAGAGCCGCGACGAAGACGAAGGGCGTTCCGCGAGGACGCTCGAGCGGCGAAACGAGAGAAGCGTGGCCGGGACGCCCAGCGCGATTAGCGGCGGCTAGTGCTCTCACGGGTCACTCGTCCCCGCTGCGCGTGCGCGCGCGCACGCGCGTCATTCCGCCGGAGCACGCACGGCTCTAGAGCCGACGGAAAACGGGATGCTTCGCCACCTCCGAATCTTGAGATTTTCAGCATTCTCGTTTTCTTGAATTTTTTTTTTTAATTTTCGCCCGAACATATTCAGTAATATCGAGGAAGTGTAACGTGCAGCTTTTCAATTAATTTACATCGTTGATTTCTCGAAATTACTATTGCTGTCCCGTGGTATCTTTTTTTTTTTTTTTTAATTTTAGATGAGCGATTTCTGATGACAAAACGGGGCTCCGAAAAAAATTTAAGTACTCGTCCCATTGCGAACTTCAAGGAGCTGAGAAGCCGATTACCGAAAAACGAGGAATTTTCGCGTGATTTTTTCTTTTATTTCATCTTCGTCACGGCCATCGTTCTCGATTGTTGTCAGAAAATTTAACTCCAGTTTCCCGAATGGGAAAAAAACTCTTGAAAAAAAAAAGACGACTCCGCGCATCCTCCTCGCGGCATTCCGAATTCTCCGCGACGATCCGATTCGCGAAGTTTCGGCCGGTATCGCAACAGCGCCTATCCCTCCTGCCCCCCGTCGCCGCCGTGCCGTCGTCGCCGTGATTGTCGGAAAACCGCAAAAGTTCCCGCGCGCCTCATTAACGACGATGGCGCGACGGTATATATACTTATTATTAATAACGGCGTGGCGAACGAAGGACGAAGTTCACGAAGACTCGTCGACGTCGATTGCGCCCCGTCCGCGATAATTGCACAAAGCCTCGCGCGCACGAGGCGCAAAGAGGCAAAACGCAATCCACCATGAAGACGCACTCTCTTCCGTTACTCGCTCCGCTGTCCGCCGGGTGATTAACCGCTGAAAAAGAATTCCTAGGGCGAAAAAGTTTCCGCGCGCGCGACCGGACCTCTTTCTCGATCTCGCGAGGAAAATCGCGTCAACCCCCGACGTCGACGGTCTGTCCGTTCCCGTCCGTTCGTTTCGCCGCGATGCAAAGCGAATCGACGCGTCGCGAACGAGCGTCCGAGCTTATTTTAAATTGCAAAGGAGCTCCCAATGCGAAATGACGCGCGTGTCAATGAATAATTTCATCGGGCGTGATTATGTAGATGCGCGTGAAATGAGAAAAGAAATTACCGCGAGATCTTTTTCGTCGCCGAGAGAGCGTCAGCCGGAATGGACTTTTGTGGCCGCGGCGGAGTCCTCTTCGTCGTCGCGCGTGAATGAAATCGGTCTCCCGTGGCCCGAGAGACTCTCGAGGGCTCTCCGCTCCCGAGTGAAATTCTCAGTCTCGCGAGGAGAGACCAGGACGCCGCTTGTCACCCCGAAGTGCGCCCGGCGTGCAGCCGGCTCTGCCGTAGATCGCACTACTTTTCCACGGTATCCCACCCGGGAGCGCCGTGTGTACGGGCTGGTGGCCGCTGATTGGCCGGCGACGATCGCCGGGTGCGCGACGGGGGCATCGCGGACACGAAGCGGGGCCCTCTCGACGACTGGGCGCATCTATCAATGCGCAATCGCATCGGAGCTGTAGACGGAGAGTCGTCGGGGAGGTCCGCCGGAGACGCGAGGTATAAACACGGTGGCTGGTCCTCCGCGCACACGGCACGGGCACACGTCGTCGGGCGAGGTGGAGCGGGCGGCGAGAAGGGAGAGAGTCGAGCAGGAGCGAGAGAGACGGAGAGGGGTGGCGTGGTGGGAGGAAGCGAGAAAGAGGGAGAGCGAGAGAGCGAGCGATACCGTGCCGCGGGTGCGAGCGAGAGGGGGCGAGAGGGAGCGAGAGAGTGAGGCCGTGAGCGAGATAGAGCGAACGAGTAGGCCAGCGAGACGATCACGATGCACGGAGGCGAGCACAAGCGGCCAGGGGCACAGGGCTGAGGGCTGAGGGCTCGACGGGGCCTCGAGTAACGGTTCACGGGCCGGCCGCCCGGCGCAGCCAGCGAGCGATGGAGCAGCCGAAGTCCCCGACGTCCCGGCTATTCAACACGAGCTGCGTCGAGAACAAGGACGAGCTGGAAGAGGTAACATAAATATTTGAAATAGTCACTGGGTACGTATCGGGTGCGAGGGCCTCCGCCATTGTTGCGACGGTCGCGCACGTTGGCGAACGCGCGGCGCCACATGCGAAAACGCGCGTTCTCGCGCGGAATTCGAAAACAGCGGGGATCATCCCCGTGGGGCGATTTCCCTTCCCCGATTCTCCCTTCCTTCCGCGTCCCCCGCACTCCCCTACCTATCGCGTTCCGTCGAGCGATTCGACTTGCGGCACGTGGTCACGTTCTAAATTGGAGTGTTGTTTCCTTGCGTGCTCAAAGTGTGCACTTTGACTCTCTCTAAAGTATTAGATAAAAATTCACGTGATTCCCTTGCACACCCCTTGGCTCTTCGAGTCAGTGGAATCGAGCGATACAATGTGTAACTATTTGACTGGTCACTGGATACAATGTTTTTTTCTCTTCCAGAAATTGGAAAGATGCCACTCGACGTTGCAAAATCTGATCACGGGACTCTCGGAGAAGGAGGTCCACGACACGCTGAACAATGCGGTGTGCAAGGACAAGACGCACGAGGAGGTCTCCCTGGGTTTACTGGTGGTGATCCTGACGGATCCGCAGAACGCTGCAAAGAGTTACAGGGACTTGACGTTGATCACACGAGATGGCCTAGCCATTGTGCTGCTCCATCTCAATCAACTAGTACTGGAGAAATATTTGAGATTAAATGACGTTACCAGGAGCCAGTTACTGTGGTTGCTAAGGGAAATGATAAGGACTAGTGTAACAAATGTGGACAACCTTTGTTTGAGTTTGTTGAGGCATGCGGCAGGCGGGGACATTTCCCCGAAGAACTTATTCCTAGTTGACGCCCTCTTGGATATTTTTCAAGAGAATCGACCGTGGTTGGACAAATTTCCGTTTTTAGTAGCATCAATTGTGTACACGTATTTACGATTAATAGAAGACCACAATGCACCTCATCTGGCTGGTTTACGGCAAAAGGAAGTGACCTTCACGGTATCCCTGATAAGGGAACGAATGGCGGACTGTCTGGCCATTGGAAGGTACTGGCGCGATTAGAGAGCTCTCGAATGGCGGAACGTCAGGCAAACTAACGCGTTTCAATTGTATTTTTTTTTTTTTTTCAGAGATCTGGTTCGTTTGCTGCAGAACGTCGCGAGAATACCGGAGTTCGAAGCGCTCTGGAAGGATGTATTACTCAATCCGAAAACTCTCTGTCCAAATTTTAGCGGCGTCCTTCAGCTGTTGCAAACCAGAACCTCCAGGCGATTCCTGCAGTCCCGCTTGACGCCGGAAATGGAGAGGAAACTCGTGTTTCTCACGAGCAACGTCCGCTTCGGCAATCACAAGCGTTATCAGGATTGGTTTCAGCGGCAATACCTGGCAACGCCCGAATCTCAGTCGTTGAGGTGCGATCTTATTCGCTTCATCGTCGGAGTTATACATCCCACGAACGAACTGCTGTGCTCCGACATTATCCCGCGATGGGCGGTAATAGGCTGGCTGTTCACAACGTGCACTTCCACCGTGGCCGCCAGCAACGCGAAGCTGGCCTTGTTCTACGATTGGCTGTTTTTCGAACCTGACAAAGACAATATCATGAATATTGAACCTGCGATTCTTGTTATGCACAATTCAATGAGGTCTCATCCACCCGTCACTGCCACCCTTCTAGATTTTTTATGCAGGGTGAGTTGCACACGTGTATATATACATACGTATTTGCTTCACCGGGAAATTCAGAATGTAATAGGAATAAAAATTTACACTTACAGATAATACCAAACTTTTATCCCGCGCTAACGGACAAAGTCAGAAATGGCATATTTTCATCGTTGCGGCAAATTCTGGAGAAACGCGTTCTGCCTAGCCTATACCCGTTATTCGATAGCCCGAAACTCGATCGAGAATTAAGAAGCAAGATACGAGAGACCTTTAAAGAATTTTGTCTGCCACCGAATACGGAGCCTGGTAAAGCATCCTGCCAACCTATCTTTATGAACATTCTATTAACACGCATTGCATTATCGTAAAAGAAATACTCTTCAGATAAATAAAATTTTCGATTACGTTGTGTAATCGAAAATTTTCGCCCATATTTAGAACGCGCTTATAATACTGCACGCCGTGCAAGAGTTAGAAAAGGGGATTGTTCTATAGTATATGTATATAACGTAAACTATGTGCTAAATGCGCGCTAACATAGTCGTACGTTGTATATTGCACGTCATGCTCGAGTTGGAAGACACTGAACTTTAGAGCATAAACTCTGCTACTCGAAACAGTGGATTCTCGAACAATTTCGTAAATGTGAACCTGATCGCTCCAAAATACATCGTATATCGTACGCGAGTTGAAAGACTGTACTGCTGTCGAAACTCAAGACTTGTTAGCGCGCTAACATCAACATATTATAAACTCGTTCCGAATATGGGTCTATTTCTTTTTTAATTTTTATGATTAAAACAGTTTAATTTTTAATTGAAGTTTGCTTGGCTCGCAATTGAATAATATGGACTGACTAGTTTTAAGCCTAGAGGGGGAGATTCATAATAATATGTTAACTCGTCAATTTGACAAAGAACTTTAATATACATCAAAAATTATATTTATTATAAGGTTTGAGTAGCTCTTTTTGACAAATAATTGATAATTATTTTGATATTTACAATCAAAAATTTTTTAAAATTGAAATGAGTCATAATTAATGCACTCTTCAAAACGGGAGGTTGAGATATTATTTATGTCCATTTCTATCAATGTAGATTAATTTTAATTTCTGTTTAATTTACTCTTTAGTTTTTTTTTAATTCTTAGAACCAGAAAAAGATAAAAAATAAGTTAAACCATGATTAATCTACATTAAAAACTGGCTTAAAAACAATTTGTAATGTGTTATGCATAGTGGATACATTGTGTTGTAGAGGGTTCGAATTCTTGATTAAGATAAATTATTAAAACTTATATTATGCGGTCTGTTCGTGTTGTTTGTATTAAAAATTCTTGTTCTCTCTCTCTCTCTCTCTCTCTCTCTCTCTCTCTCTCTCCAACGTCCAAATATATTTCTGTACTTATACAGAAATTTTTGGAGAGTTTGAACAACACGAACAGATCTATGTATCACAGACTACTTGGATACACAGATTTCTATACTACACAGTGCATTCTTTTATGAAAATATATATGAAACATATATGTGCAGAGTGAGAACGTTGATCATGTGCAATGCGTATGATACTAATCGGCTACTTCACCCTCACTACCTAAGTTAGCGACCGGATCTAATATAGAAATCTGTGACTTGGATATAAATTTTAAACAAAAACATCCATTATTTTACATTTTCATACTAATTGCTAAGTTTACATCAACTGAGTTCTTAGTTAATTTGAACATTTCACAAATAAAATATATTGAACAGTACTAGGCTGGAGACGAATCATAAATGATATGTTAACTCGTCAATTTGACAAAGAACTTTAATACACATCAAAAATGATATTTATTATAAGGTTTGAATAGCTCTTTTTGACAAATAATTGATAATTATTTTAGTATTAACAATCAAAAATTTTTAAAAATCAAAATGAGTCATAATGCACTTTTTGAAACGAGATTTATTGTAAATTCTTTTATCGGGATAAGTTTAATATTTTTAAATTACATTTTTACTAGAGTCGCCGACATACTAAAGACCATCAATCCTGAGAAAATTTTCGTGATTATTTAAAGGATTCAAAGGGTCAAGTTGTTTTTTTTTCTAAATGGAGGAGCTCTAAAGATATGAAGGTTACCTTTACTTTTTGAATGGAATTATATAATTTTTTTTACATAATATGATTCCTCTAATTATTCTACATATAAAAATGTTAAGGTAAAGTTATCGAAAAATCAATATATTACGAGATATTTGAAATACTTTATCATACCATATTTTGACATAAAGTATGAAATATCTCATAAACTATTGATTTCTGGATAATTGTACCTTAATACTTTTATGCACAAAATAATGAGATGAATCGATTGGTGTAAAAAAAAAAACATAGAATTGCTTTGAAAATTTTTTATAAAGCAACTGTATATTTTCTTAATTCCATTTAAAAAGTGGAGGTAATCTTCATGTCTTTTTAGTACCATCTAGAAAATAGTAACTTTATCAAAAATACATCCTCCTCGAAAGCATTCAAGGGTAAAACCCAATCATGTTGAAGAATTTCACAACAGTTGAAGAAATGCTTTCTCTGCTGAACGCAGTCTATGATGTCTGACGATGTTGACGAACTGCAGCCAGAAATATGACAATTCTTGTTGGCATGCTATGCAAGCAAATTGGCATCTTCGTGTTTATTATCCAGCCAAGCCTGTCAAGAGATAGATTTTGAATAAACTGGCAATTTTTGAAGACAGAAACAATTAGACAGTTTATGTTTTGATGTCTATACCAACTCTTGGTATAGCATGTCATTAGGCTTTGTTATATTTCTGGTGGCAGTTAGCCGACATTGTCAGACATCGTGAACTCTGTCTGATTGCTTTTCTGTCTTCAGAAACTGCTAGCACGCTCTATTCAATTAATCAAAATATTCTATCTCTGCAGGCTTGGCTGAATATGCAGATTTCAATTTGCTGACATAGCATGTCAGCAAGGCTTTGCCACATTTCTGGTAACGTCTGGTGGCAGTTTGACGACATCGTCAGACATTATAGACTGTTAAGCCATGTGCACAATGGAGGAAATATTAGGAACTGAAATAAATATAGAATTTCCTATCAGACACCGTGTATATCGCGATTAAATACTAAAAATAATATTTTCCTCCATTGTGCTCACGGCCTAAGGACCAGAAAAATTTAAGCAGTAAGCGAATCGACCAATCATAATCGAGGACGTAAGACCATAACGTACAAAAAGTAGCAAACTCAACATGTTAATTTCTTTACATTTTTTCTGTGTGCCAAGGCCCTAGCTCTGATCAAAACTGTAAACTCTATAGTTTACATCACATAAATTATAGATTTTAGTTAATCGAGTGAAGTTTTGGAACGCAGCTCAGATTGGCATATGCGTGTTCACTATTCAGCCAAGCCACAGAGATAAATTTTAATTAGAGCATGCTAGCAATTTTTGAAGCCAGAAAGACAATCAATTGCATACAGAGTCTGTACTTGCCTGACGATGTCGATAAAGTGCCGCCAGAAATATGGCAAGGTCTACTGATATGCCATGTCAGCAGAATGCTAACAGAAATCAAGTAGAATTTGTAGTTCCTGCTTGGAAAAATTTTTCACTTTTCACATTCCCTAAAAAAAAAAAGCATCATCGATATCCAGATAAAAGCAACATCTACAATGAGACTTAAGACTTAAGATTTAAGAAAATTGACCAATCACAATCGATTATCCTTCTCATATGAGATGAATAATCGACTATGATTGATCAATTTTCTTAAAACTTAAGTCTTATTGTAGACGATGCTTAATACAATATCTAAAATCGAGATATAAGACGTCTTTAAGACGTTTTCTTAGACGTCTTTTAGATTTGCAGTGGAAAACAGGATATTACTTAACTTTTTCTTTAGGGCGGAAACGTGAAAAGTGAAAATACCGATAAGATACTATTAAAGATATCTTATTAGTGTGTAATCGATGTTTTCACTTTTCACCTAGAAAAAAAGTTGTTTAAGCCTTGATCAAATTTGCTGCCAATCTGCCAGCAAATTGCTAGTATTTTGCTATCCGGATAATACTACAAGTACGACTCATGGATTGGCATTTAAAGACGAGATTTCTTATATCTCAATTATGATTGACTTTTAAGCCTTTATGTTTCAGAAACTATGTGTTTTAGTAAACTTTTATAAATTTGGTCTTCCGAAATAATTTTTCTTTTTATGAAAATTCTGGCAACTAGAAAGAACACTAAAAATGTATTGAGAAACTGAAAGTATATATATGAAATATTTAGAAAATTCTAAATTTTCAGTTTCTGGATATGTGTAATATCACCGACGAGATACTATAATATTAAAGACCGATATTCTTATGGGAGTTAATTCTTTATAAAATTATATCAATACTATCTAATACTCGATACTATCTGTGTTCTTTTTAATTGCTTCCAAAAACCTCGGGCCCCTTGGGCTCTTTTGATGGTCACGAAAATTTATTCAGGATTTTTTAATGGTATCTCATAGGTGATAGCATACAGAGTGTCTACAAGTTGTCTACAAGTCTAATTTTGTTCGCGTTGCTCCAAATTTCTAAAAATTTTTGCATTTGAAACGAGATAAATACATATTTGGGCGTTGAAGAGAAAGAAAGTGAAAGTTTTTAGTGCAAAAAGTGCAAGCGAACAGATTTTCTGCTTCCACTATATTTTGGAAACTGTTCAAAATATGTATTTCATAAATTTAAATTGTTTTTGAAATATGTGAAGTAGTGACAGACTTTGGCTGCGTTTTGTTATTCACTACAAGTACTTTTCATTTAGCACCACAAATCGACACAAGCATTTTTTCAACATTCAGTGACCACAAAGATAGAATGACATTTGTTACCAATTTGTGTCGCTAAATAGAAAACATCGTACGAATATTTTGACATTAGCGAACAAGAGAACGCCTCCACCTGGTAGCGCCACATAGTGGAGTATTTTTTCACTTTACCTCAATAGTGCCGTTGTTCTAAACATTTTCTACGACATATTTGACGAATCATATTTCAGTTTTCAGCACATTTATCGCTTACTAACTTTTTTACATCGTGTCCTTAAGCAGGTAATAAGGTTCTGAAATATTCAGGTAAAATGGAAGAACTCAACAAGGAGCATAATCCTGGGACTATAATAGAAAATACCACGAATTCTACCGTGGAGAACAACCACGTGGCACAGGATCCCGAACCAACGTTCAGTGACGAAGAAGAGGAGTTGTCTCCTCTTAGGTAACTTAACTATCATGTTGCATGTACCGTACTGCAATATCTAACGCATATAGTTAATACATTAATCTTTTCTATACGGAAAGATCATAGACTGAAGCTTTGTTTCATCCTATGATGACTCGTCAATACATCCGTTATAGCCGCGAGCTATAGTAAAAGACGATAAAAGATTTGAGATTCGACTACAACTTCGGTGACTGTGGCACAGTGACTATGACTGTAGACGTTTGTTGTTATCGTTTTCGATTGTGATCTGGCAAATGATTATGAGCATATGCCATATCGAAAAAAATTAAACTTCATATTTCAGAGGCGTAGGCTTTTAATTTCACTAGCAAATGATTATGAGCATATTCCGTATCGAAAAAATTAAGCTTCATATTACAGACGTAGGCTCTAATTTCACGAATTTATCTGTATTTTAGAATAGTGACGAAAGTAGAAGAAGAAGAGGACGAGGAGGACGTACCGTTGTCTACGGTAAAACTGAAAAACGATCAGAAGAACGCGAACTGCGTCGTGAAGAAGGAGGACATCACGTCGCATCTGCGTCTCATATTGGAGCCGGAGGAGTTGAGGACCAGCATAGAAACGTTGCATACGGAGACCGACAACGAGTCGAGGTGCCAAGTGATGGAAAGGATAGTACAAATGATCGTGGAGGACGAAATAGATGCAGAAACGATACCCGCGTTAGCGTCCTGCATATCAACTATCTTATCGCCGCAGATCACGACGCAGATCTTCCCGTCGGATAATCTGAACGAGGAGGTGCTGGCCGATAGTATAAGCACGCCGTTGTTTGTTATGTTTCGAAACCAATTTCAATTGTGCAAAGAAGAGGATAACAGGCGGAAGCTTCTGGCCAGGGTGCTGGCGGAAATGCAGTCGGTTCAGTCCAAGATCGGTTATCTCCTTCTTTATTTCTTAAAAGTCTGGGGCAGAGAAGAGGAGAAGAGAGAAGGCGAGCCGAGGTTAGACGAAAAACATGAAATATCGAACAGGCAAACAGTAAGAAGGAAAAATCCTTTAAACTCTGAACTGTTCTATTTCAGCAATGTTCTAAACGACGTCAAAGCATCGGTATACAAGGACTTCTGCGCGCAGCGAGAAAAGAAATTGGACGCGTGTCTGGTGCAAGATTTAAAGGTACGAGTTTTATATACAGATGTAATTAAAAGAAATATTTGTAATACTCAAAGCGATACGTTCTTAATACGTTGTTTACCGTCATTGCAGCTTTGCCACGAAGATAATATATTCATGTTATGTTACCTCGTGCCCGACGTGTACACGGGATTTCAAAACGTCGCCGTCGGAAACGTCCAGCTGTTGCACCTGGTCGTGTCCACCGTGGACTCGTGCCAGTTACAGGATCTAGTTTGCCAGATAATGCAGGGCCATCTGAAGATGTTGAAGAAGGAGTCGTTCACCACGCTACTGACGGCCAGCTTGAATTGGGAGACATTCGAGCAATACTGTTTCTGGCAGCTCATATTTGCACACGATTTTCCCATTGATTACGTACTGCCGGTTTTGCCGAAGCTACAGTTTCGTAATCACGCGGAGGCGCTCACCTCAATCTTGTTTATGCTTAAGCAAGAAAAGTGAGTAGAATATAATCGCTAATCGTTAGAAACAGGGACGAAGACTTTTGAATTTTTCTTGTAATTTTATCTTGATATCACGCAAGAACTAGCTCTTTTAGATAATTATTTAAAAAAAATTTGTTTTAAATACCCCGAATTCAGGATGTGGAATTCCACATCCACGGGATCTCTGGATGTGGAAAGCTCCATACCCTCCATAGGAAAGTCTCCGTCCCCGGTTAAAAAATCTGCTACGAAAACAATTCGATATATGAACTTTATATTCTATGTACAATACTATATTCGACTGATACAATGTTTATAGGCCAACCTTGGATCTTCTACGACAACTACTCGCCCGGCAAAGCGTCGAGGGCGATATGTTTGTCGTGGCCGCGCTACGTTATTGGTGTCGCGATTACGAGGAGAAACTCGGCGAGCTGCTCGCGAATCTACTCAGCACCCGTTATCCCGCGACCAGTCCGAACAAACGGAAACGTTCTGGCGCCAAGCAGAACCAGCAATCAGGTCCACCTACCGGCGAACAAGTTCTCGGCCACTTGGACCAGTTACGCCAGCACTGTGTGTCCTCCGCGGAATTACAGTTGTATCACTCGGAAGGGATGCAAAGGGCATTACAGCAGGCGCAAGCGGCGAGCAGCGATTCACTCAGGAAAAGTTACGGCGACCTCTTTGCGCTTGCGGAAGTCAACGAGGAGAACGAACCACCGCCACCGAGTAGTTCCGCGAGGAAACACGCTGCCTCTGGGGGAGGCGCGGGCAGTAAGGGCGGTCACAGGAAAACCGGCGCTAACACGAGAGAAAGATCCAACTCGAAGAGACCACTTCCGCGATATCATATTGACAGCACCTCTAGTAGCGAGGTAATGATTTCTTAAAAATTATACCTATTTATGTAAATCAGTATAATGTGTGTGATTATATATTATATTACTTATCAATTAATTATTGATCATATATATTATTATTGAAAAAATTAATGAATGATTTTTCTTGCCGTTAGGAAGAAGAAATCGTGAATCCAAAGCAAGCGAAAAAAAGGAAAAAGATCAATCCAGTGGGCTCGGACAGCGACTGACCACCCAGTGTCTTCACATGTCACATGGACCACGTCACGTGTGTGCAGCAAGCTAAACTAGCCTTAAGAATAGTAAGATAATATGATATACATAGATTTATATTTATGTGTGTGTATATGTATATATACATATATATAAATCTATTTAGCGCAACTTTGTAAATATAATTTACGCTAATGAACGCGGAGAGGTATACATATATAGAAAAAAATAAAACCTTTAATATGTTTCATATATACATGTTGCTCAGAGCAACAGCAAAATTGCCAGACTCTGATTGTTATTGTTAAAACATTTTGTTGAAAATTGAAAATCGGCGTGTGAAAACTACTTAAATTCGTATTCTTAAATATCTCTTATTTTAAACCCGCGTTTTTTACTCTGATCGATAATTAATATTTCCGGCAGACTTGTGTGACAGATAAAAATGACCAAGCGGTACGTCAATTATCCTACTTTCCTATATTTCCTCTCGAAATGTATGCAAGTGTATGTATTGGATTACCGCTCATGTCTGTCAAATAGTTATTATAAAACAAGACTTCAATTGGAATTGCTAAAAGCTCCTGTTTCTTTACTGTGGTCATTAAATTATGATGTCAAGTGAGAAATCGAGAATCGTTTTTTTTAGCAATACACGTCAAAATAAAATTTCCTTGTATGCACGTTTGATAACATACATTACACCGCAGTTCTCTTTTAATTTGTAAATTAATAATGATGTAAATTTTGAATTGTCATCGCATGGTATAGCATGCAGACTGAATTATACCTGTGCATTTATTGATATAAAAAAATGAAAGCGTATTTTCGATCCATAATATTATATGTGTGTATATATATATATATATGTATGTATATATATCCACATGATATCTATATATATTTACATATATATGTAATTATCTAAATTATATACATGAAAAAAAAAATATTTTTTTTTATGTATATAATTTAGATAATTATATATATATATATATGAAAAAATTAATTTCCAACATGTGTGTATGTGTGTATATGTATTTATGTATATATACACATACATAGTGATATATATATGTGTGTATATATATAAAGAAATAGTATGTAGATACATGTTATAAGACAAAGATTCATACGGTTTCTTGCCGCTGACATTACAATTCATATGGCTGTGAAGAAATAGAAGCCTTAATATGACCGTTTTCTTCGCAAGTATGGAAGCGAGAAACAGAATCTGGCAACATTGCAAGGGGTATAGCAACGCAATATATCCCTTTTGCACTTTTCTTTTTTTTTTTTTAATAATATGATTACGACGAATTTTTATCTATTGTCTAAACTTGTTGTCGTTACATTTTTCTTTTCTTTACGAAACTTTTTGTTAAAGCAATTGCCGCGATTGGACATATTCGTTGCCGTAACTCCGAACGCAATTCGAATGAGTTATTAGCCTTTTCTAGAATTAAGGACCTTCTACCGGAACGAATCGAGAACGTGTAAATTCACATACGTACCATTCCGGTGAGAAGCGTACAGTTTTACGACCAAATGTATTCAGTTCTCAATTGCGCTTGCGCGAGCACAATTATTCTCGAGAGACGCAGGGATACTTTTTATAATGTTCTGTATGACGGAAGGTTATTAAAACTTTAAAGTAATCAAAGCGATTCAATGTTATATAGCTTTAAATAAATTCCCTCTTTGTTTCAAATTTTTACTTAGATTGATTTAATAATTCGTTGCGATTATAAACTGCGACACAATATGATGACTTGTATTGTACTTTTGTATAACTTTTTACAATCCTATATATTTGTAGATAGACACATAAGGTGAAAATTGATGCGCGCGCGGTGATAACGATCGACTGCAGGCACGGTAAGTCGGTCCTCATCATTGTACAAGTATTCAATTCTCGCAAAAGATATTCGAATAATTTTCCATACTGAATCGTTTGCCGTTTCATTATCATACTGCATACGAGACACACGTGTTTCTCTGAAATGTTTAAAATTCCGAAACTACGGTACCTTCCAGGAGAAGAAGAAAAAAAGAGGAAAATGAAAGAAAAAAGCGTCGGTTGTAAAGTGTAAACCTAAGTCTCGAAAACAAAGTGCGGAGAGAGTATCACCATTTACTTACTATATAATGTACATTTCCTGTAAAATCGTTTAATCCAAAAGTCGATTGTATTATGTATCTTCTGATTGTGTGTGTGTATATACATGTATATATGCACACACATAAAATGTGATGAGAATATGTGTATGTATGCATGTATGAGACATTATACATGGTGCGATAAGAGAATTTGCAAAACGTCACGTTATATATATAATATATATATATATATATATAATTTTTAGATTCCCTACGCCTCCACTCTCGATCTTGATTTTATCTCGAAAGTATAAGTGCGAAATCGTGTCGCTGATTCGGATTAATAACAAATAAAAATAAAATAAAAAAACGAAAAACCCAGAGCGTGCCCAAATGTTCACACGAACGATTTGTGTGAAGGATGGATGCGTATGATCTCTGGCACATAACGATGACGTTACTAGAATTTTTCTATTTGTACATAAGCAACGGCGATACGACAGAGAAATATTTAAGAAAGAAAGACGAGTAATCCGACGAAAGGAAAGAGAGAGAGAGCGCGGAATACGGGGCATGCGATGCAGTTTCTGCGAGAAAGAGAAAAGGTGAAAAAAAAGAAGAGGAAAGCAAGCCTGTAAACATTAATGTTTTTAACGATCTTGTACACACGGAAGAACATGTAAATACATGGATAGATTATCATAACGCGAGTATAAACATTTAATGTTTTTAACGATCTTGTACACACGGATTACACGTAAAATGTAAATACATCGAAAATTATCGGAAGCAAACTTGTGATATCTTGTACTTACTTTCTCCTTCTCTCGAGTCTCCTTCCTTCGAAATTGCTTTTTTTTTTGCATCGATCAACAATAAATTGTCTCACTACAAGTTTTGACGGTAGTGCACGTGTATAAGTACTTTCTCTGTATGTCCCGTTTTTACGTTAACTATAATCGCACTGCTACTTCGCGTATTATGACACTTACTTTATCAAACGTGGCGTTAGGTTTACCAATGAACAATATTTCACTCGTGATGACCCCTAAATCGATGGGTGTAATCGCTGTTTATATTCTATCGCGCAGAGTACACGAGTGATCGGATTCGTCGATTCGAAATCCGATGGTACGTTCCAAGAAAGCGCGTAAGAAACCCGTTACGAAGAACGATTTTATTTTCCTTTATCAGAGAGAGAGAAAGAGAGAGAGAGAGAGGGGTTGAAAGAGAAAATTGGGAAAGTCCAACTTGATTGCGAGACAATAAAGAAAATCATAGTATTAAAATTTGTCACATATTATTATTGCTAAAAATGCAACAGGGAAAAGTGGAATGGATCCTTATTTATTTTCCTTCAAGAAATTTGCGGATACGTCATCATTAATTACATGACATATCTTTCCCTACATATAATGCATTCAATCAAAAAACCTTTCAGTTCGTCGTGTTCGCCAGCTAGACGAGAATCGCGAGAACACCATTTTCGTCGCGACTAAGCTTAAATTCAAAGTAACCATCTGTTTCTTCTCAAAGTGTCACTCGGTTTTAATACATATATATATATATACGTCAAGAACACAATAGAGAACCGTATAATTTCACTCATTTCGGCGATTGCATGGCAATTCGCGCTCGTCTGCTTGTCGAGAATTCCATTCGGCTAATTTTTCGGACGAGAGATCAATCGAAGGCAGAAATTTTACGAAATTGCTTTTTATTATATTTTACAATCGGACTAAGCGCCTTAATTAATTATCGTAGATCAATCAGTTTCTCTTTTTCTTTCAACATAAAGACCTCAATTCTGCGCAACGTCGATTCATTTATTTTATTAAATTAATAATTAGTCGATATATTTAACTAATATTACAAACGTCGCGACAAAGCTGACCGCTTCTATTGATCTCCGCGTGTCGAGTGTCGTCTAATTAAAAGTAGAGAAATAGTTTTGTTTCGATTGTGCACGGGGGTGAAGGGGGGATGGGGGCGTGGGATTGTACTTTACATAGGTATATTTAAAGAGTCCGGGTGCGCAACGCCGACGTACAGCGACGATGTACACCGTGCGTCTCGTATTATAATCGTTAATCACAATCGTCGAATATGTACAAGGATTCTGTACAGGGATTCGCATTTTGCCATTCGTCGTCACGCATACGCGCTATTATCACGTAGAAATTCGATTATTACACAGTAGGTATCGCACTATATTTACGAATGCAAAAATGGTATTCGTTCATAAACTAGTTTCTGTGCCGCGAGAGCTGTCTCAAACAGCGACAGGCGCATCGTGACACTGATACTGACACCGACAGGATCAGGAGACGACTCGAGGCCCGCGACGTGCCCGTCTTCGTCTTGCTCGGTAAATTACTACTCGATACAGCACGATTTTTCTTTTTGTCGAAATTAGAGAATTATCGAACCGAACCGAGAATATAACGATCTGCGCGATTATTCATAGCGAGTCAATTTTACGTTAATGACGTATATCTCAATAATAAAAATCTGCGCCAATCAAGCTTCTAAGAAAAAAAAAAAACATCGTAAAACGCATAGAACATGTCCTACATTTTTTAAATGCCACTTAAATATCTCTTAGACTTCTCCGTTACCTTTACAATATTCAGAAGAGGGTAATAGGAAGGAAATGTGATTCTCGTTTGAAGATACAGCGGTTGCAGAAATGGTATCGTAAAATGATGTCTGATCACATATCCGTTTACTAAAAAGCGTAATGCGATTTTTCGATAAGTAGGCCAGGCTAATCTTGATGCCGTCTTCATTGGCCGTCCACTTTAGGCGCGTTTATAATCCTACGTAACTACAAGATCATATATAAGATGAATCTTAATTGTTCGTTGATACTTTACGAGATTTAGGCTTCAAAAGACGTACGAGTTAGAGAAAGCGCTCGAAGTGCCCGATCTTTCGTCGCGGTCCACACGCTGCGATATTTTCTCAAAACCGTAACACGTAGCACAAAATCGTAATACGCAGCAAGCATCGAGTCGCGTTAGAACGTAGCGTGTATCACAGGGAGTAAGCGCTTGCGATATAATCTTTCAAAAATGTATTACAACTCAGGAGATAAAAGTTAAACTTACGCGTCCGTTCGGCGTTTCCCTTCCCTTGTGCTGCGGACAACTTTTTTTTAAACCCGTTTCCCGACGGTACCGGCGCGCAATCAAGAATCATCCTGTATATCTAACATCACACCGTTTGCGAAGGCTCTTCTCGTTTACTTTAGTGCGTATGCGAACCGCTTCGGTTGGATGGAAGCGTCGTTCCATCGTCCAACGCGGTACCGCTCGTTGTATACACGCGACAAATAGAAGGTCCCGTCCGCGCGCACAGGTATTACGCCCGTACGCGTACCGCGCGTAATCGGCGGAGAATCGGAACGCGCGCGCGCGCGCGCGCGCTCGCGAAATCGGGACGCGCACGTGCGAAATTAATATACATCGCTGATCTCCCGCTCATTCATAAACACGCGCGCACGCACACACACACGCACGTACACGCACGCACACACACACACACACACACATCGATTTTTCATTCCTCTATTTGTTAATTTCCGTTACAATATAGATTCGCGTATGCGTATATGTACACATTCATCAGTCACACGGGCTCTAAGGCCGCCGCGGAGAGAATTTCCCCCCTCTCTTGCGGGCTCCCTCTTCGCGTCCTTCCTTCCTCGCGAAAGGGTGGGACAACACATTGACGAAGTTCGTGGATTTTTAACGTTATTAAAGGATGAAAGGCAAGTCTCTTTCTTTATATTAGAAATAGGCTTCTAGTAAATCACTTCGTATACAGTGGCCTTCTTGTCGCCGGATCCGGTCACAATGTACTTGTCGTCCGCGGAAATGTCGCAGCTCAGCACCGACGACGATTCCTTGGACTGCAAAGGTCAACAAAAATATTGGCAAAATAAAACTTGCGAGAACGTCGCTATTCAATTCATAAATTTTATATATATATATATATTATTATATATATATATAATTTATGAATATATATATAATTTATTAAAAGAGATTCTTTCGATATTCGAAACGGCAATTTATATATATATATATATATATATAAATTGCCGTTTCGAATATCGAAAGAATCTCTCTTAAGAATCTGCTTACTTTTATAATAAAATTGAGTCTTAATCAACAAATTTAAAAAAAAATCGAAAAGTACAAGAAGAAGAAAAGAAGTAATTTGGCCCTAAAGAAAAAGAATATTACATCCTGTATGCATATATTTCGCTTTGCCTGAATGCTAAGATTTTAGAATGCGACTCCAGTTTAATGCCAAACGGAGACAAAAGAATGTGAATTGTATCGTCGATTGGTCTGCATTCGACTACTTGCCTGAAATATTGAAGCACCGTACGGCGTACGCCACGCGTTCAGCAGATTGTCCTTGCCGGTCGAGACGAACCACTTGCCGCAGGAGGCGAAACGCAGCGAGAGCACGCAGGAGTCGTGCAGATGCAGCTGGTACTTATCGGACTTGGTGGCGTGGAGCACCTCGACGTTCGAGTTTTCCATCCCGACGGCCAGCCACTCGCCGGTGGGGCAGTAACCGAGGGAGAATATCTGCGAGGTGAAGTCGTGCTGCTGCAGCTGCCTGCCCTCGCGAAGGTCCCAGGACCGCACGGTGTTGTCGAGGCCGCCGGTCCACAGTTTCGACCCGTCGGCGGAGATGTCGATGCAGGACGCGCCGTCCGTGTGACCCTGGAACTGCCTGACCAACGTCTGATTCTGCAGGTCCCACACGGCGATGTTGCCGTCGCTGCAGCAGCTGAAGCAGACCTTCGAGTCCGGCGAGATCGCCAGGGCGTAGCACGCGGGCGCCGACGAGGTCAGTTCCGCCTTAATTCTGGGCGTGGGACTCGCCAGGTCCCAGATGCTCAGCTGGCTGGCCTCTCCGCCGACGATCAGGGTCCTCCCGTCAGGCAGAAGTTTCACGGACCTGCGGAAGGTTTGAAGATGCCGATTTCGCTCAATGTCCCTCGCTTAATTGGCTTTGCTGTTAAGAAGCTTAATTCCGATAAATATAATCGCTTTAATTTATGCAATCACTTAGAACAACGTCTCTCTTTTCCCTTTAGACAAAATTATTTTACTTATTATCAGAAGAAATGTGATTTTATTCGCCACCTGTTTTATCAGATCAAATTATACGTACGCGCGCGCGCGAGAGAAAATCTTTTCGCGAGAGTATCCAAAGACCAACGGGACGTTTGGACGCAACTGCGAGATCACGAACCACTCAGAGCACTCACCTGATGTAATTGTCACGCTGCAAACAGTCCAGCTGCGAAACTGGTTTCACGCTGGCGCTGCCGACACTTTGGCCGATGTCCCAGACCTTGACGCAACCCTTGCCGCCGGTGTAGACGTACTTGGTCGGATTCGAGATCGTGACGGCGCAGACCACCTCGCCGTGTGTCAGGGTGTTAATCTGACGTGCGTGACGGGGGATGCCCGGTCCTACCAGAGCGTCCGTGGGGAATGGTACGGGCTGCAGTTGGCCCTCGCCGTTCATATGGTAGGAGTACGCCCTGCGCGAAATGAACGGTAAGTGTTTAACGCGCTCCTATCGCGACACGATGTGCTGTATAGGGGACGGTAGCGGAAGTGTGACTTGGCAAGACCCAAGACGACTTCACGTAAATTATAATAATTACGTACGGTTTGCCACCTGCGATGTTGTTCAGTCCGTTACTCGCGGGTATCCTCATGTGACCGTCGAAACCGATCTGCGGAAGAGACGGTCGCTTATTGTTAGTATCGCGATGCGCAGAAGACATCGTGAGGGGAAAAATAAAGGCGCGTCTGTTTAGCACAAAAAAAAAAGCGAAATAAATGGCCTTAGAGCCGTCGTATCAGACTACATTGAAGATTGAGATTAAGATTGATAATAAGATTGATAATAGAGCTGCGTTCAGCAAACAAAGCAGCTCGGTGAGCGCTCAGTGATTTTTAATTTGATTGGTTCTTGCCTATATCTAAGTGTAAAAATCAATTATAATAAAGAATCACTGAGCGCTTTGCTGAACGCATCAGCAAAGCATGAGACCTTTTCACCGACTTTTATTATTCTTTCGAGGAGGAAGAATATGCGAAGACCAAATTAACGTCGATTCTCTTAACATTTTAGTATTGATTTCGTACTTATTAATTATTCTCATCAACTTAAATATTTATTAAGTAGTTTAAGAAGACTTTCACGAATTTGAAAGCCACTTTTTGTCAAACGACAAATTAATGTAAAGATTAAACTTTATTGGCTGCTTTAAGTTTTTCATTGCAGAATAATTTCAATATATAAGGTGTCACAGGATTTAACGCACAAATTGCGGAAAATAAGAAAAAGAAGTTATAAAGTTTGACTAGAAATTTATGCTTTATTACAACGTCTATACTTTATTATTCTCTGTCTGTAAAAATGTCACATGCCACCACGTGACCAAAAAAATCGTCAAGCCATTACCGAGCCATTGAGATTAAAGATTGGAAAAATAGACGAAGTCCTAAATTTCAATCTCCAATCTCGATCTACTTTGTTCTCATTGACTGGGCTTCAATCTTAATCCTCCTCAATCTTAATCTCAATCTCCAATGCGTAGTCTGATAGTGGCTTTTTAGGAAACGGTCACCGTCGATTTGGATGGTTTTTGCATGAGTCTGACACGAGATTGATCGCGAGATTCAACCCTAAGAGGACCTCTGCCAGTTTGACCTTTCTGATCATTCACGATATATAATCCCCCCCCCCCTCTCTCTTCAGTCCGCTAGATTTAGATTTCATCAGATTCAATCTAGATCAGTTTTACGATATCCATAGAGACAATCGGAGAGAATAATGCTGCTTACATGCAGAAGTCCTTCTAGAGTCGAAAGAAATTATATGTAAGCGGTTGTAGTCCAAAATCAATTTATACTCTTTTCTTTTCAGTCGCATATATACATAAAACTAATGTATCTCAATGAATTGATGAAAGCGTGGTAACGTAAGGACTAAGGTGTTACGGGGTCGTGAATCACCATGGAGGGCCGCGCGTATGGCAAGTTGCTGTATGGCGAGGGCGACTGCGGCGGCTCATTGCCGCGGGATGGCAAGCCCTGATAACCCTGCGGTGGCGTTTGCTGCGACGATGGCGGATGATAGACCCGCGCCAAGGACCCAGGGATGCAGCCCATAGTTGGCGTACAACTGCGCGAGCCCTTCGCCGCCGCCACAGGTGTACCCGGCTTGTCGACCTGGCGAACGGCACGGTACGTGTTTTGCGGGTAGCTTTTGCAGACGCTCACTGATCTCGCAATCGTAGCTAAAGCTCTCGACCTCGTGCCGATTGCGAATGCAAGCTGACCGTGCTCAGCCGGTCGTATATATATATATATATATATAATACGCGATATCTTTTCCCTTCGCGTTTCGTTTCGCATGCGGCGGCAGAGAGCCGCTGCCTCGAGACGATCAGTCGAGTGAGTTAACGAACAAAAAAAATATATATATATATATGTGCTGTCGCGGAGATGTTATCGATATCGTTAGGGCCGTCAGACGCAAGAGCTCTGCGCAGAAATTGCGTCATACAATAAATTCTTTGTGCTCGATTAAAGATGCTTTCGCCGGTTATTTCAACAATCAGTATAGTTTTGTTATGCCGTTTGCCGGATTTGATCACCGTTTTATCGCTCGAAAATAGATACATGAAGAGAAAGATGGCATCGTCTGACGACCCTAGGGTACCACGCAAATTAGAAGAGAGATCGACTTTTTACGTTCGCACCGCGGGAGGGTTTTTTTTTTTTGGTATGTATGTGAGCGACAGAGTCACGGACTGGGCCGGGTCGCAGCGCCGAATAAGCTTACTCTCCGCGAGATCTTACATCTTTACTTTTCAGAGACGGTGTACTACGGGCGGAGGAGCTGCCGCTGCGCGACGGCGGCCTGTCCTTTACGGATGCCGAGCCCGCGCCGGATACCGGTCCGCCAACGTGGCCCGGTGCGCCCAGCTTCTCCAGGGTGCCGTTTTCACGTGGGTCCGAGTGCTCCCCGTTCGCGTGCGGCGACGACGCCTCCTTTCGCGACACGCAAATATCAGGATTTTTCGTTAAGCGAACAACACGCAAATAATCGTACTTAAGCATAGCATGCGATAGCACGAGTCTTTTAGATCCTCGGCAATTTATATCTTTATCTCGCACAACTTTTTTCCCTCGTTTTTTTTTTAATATCAAAATATACTTTTCACTTTCTAAAAGTACAAAAGCATGGCTATCAAAATCATTTCGCATCGTTTCTCCCAGCAACGTTAGTTTTTAATTGACATTAAACAAGTGTAAAGTTCAAAACTTGCATGCAAAGCAATTATGCAAGATAATTATAGTTGCGTGTAGACAAATTTAAGATTATGTTAATAGATATATATTCATCTAAAAATTAACAAACAAACGGCGTTTATTCAATGACAATCCCTTACCTCGTTCGCCACGTCGACGACCAGGTCCTGATCGCTCTTCTCAGCGTCGCTCTCCTGAAAAAAAAAATTCAAAACGACCCGTGAGAACGATGATAACGAGACACGCTCCGCGCGAGCAGTCGGCCAGTCTACCCGAGCCCGAGTGCATCAACGAGCTTTTGATGCACCTCGTCCGTCCAAGTAGACGAGCAACTCGACCCACATTCTCGCGCGTCCTATACTGGCGCGGACGCACCCTCCGAGATGCATTATTAATCTTGGTGCCTCCGCTCACGCGATGCTCCGATTGTGCTCGAACAATAAATTAACGGGCGCGTAGTACGGCCCGGAGGCAATAAGCTCCAGCGCGCGGCGCATCCCGACGTGAGCCCGTGAATGCGTAATCCGACTCCGCGAATCAAGACGTTTGCGGTCAATTAAGGCACGGCGGTTAAATGTTGAATTATTCAAAAAGAAAAAGATTACGCGTTTGTTCCGCGTAATTTCGTCGACCCTCGCCCTCACGTACTTCGGAATCCGAAATTGACCGCGTGCAAATAATTATGGGGTGGACGTTATCGGAATTACCTATACATTTCGTCATTCGCGAAACAATTTGCGGCTATCGTGTACAACGTTTATCTTATACCGGGCTGTATCTATAATAACAAGTCCCGTTACCCGTCCCGGCAATTTTGCGTCCGCGCCATACGTGTGGCGTGTAGAGCGTATATCGTAGCGCGCGGCTAATTTATGTGGCATTTATCTCGTAACACTACTTATCGGTTATCTTTCACTCGGTGCAAGAGCGGTGCCTCGCGCGCCCCGCCCCGCCCCGCTCCCCGCCGACCGCCTCCACGTTCTCGCAGAACGTGGTGCATAACGAGCTCAAAGCAGGGCACGCGATAGTAGCATTGCCCGCCTAATGACGTAATATTATCGCAGCGTATAACGTCCCATCGATGCACCCCGCGTGCGTCTCGCACGTACGTATGTGCGACGGTGCATGCGAGATGGTGCGGGTGCGTCGCATACGGACGCACGAAACCACCTGTGCGCGTCGCGGACGTTTTAAGTAATTCAGCTGCGGCGCGGGTATTTAAAAAATTCCCCCGCCAACGGCCGCCTAACGTGATCTTATCCGACGTCCCAGCGCATGCATAAATTACATTCGACTGCTGCTCGACGGGAGAAAATTGTCCGCATGGTTTAAGGAAAATTGAAATCGAGAATTAAAAGAAGTCCGGGGTAATTAAAAGTAACGCGTAAAATCTACGAGTGTTTCCTCCTTTTCTCATGCGTATCTTCGCATCTTGGATTATCTTTTGCAGCGAGTACCAATGCGTTTAAAAGAAATAAGAAGCACGAGTAGACTTCTCTTAGGATCACCAAGTTAATTATCAAGTATTTGAGGATTAAACCAAGATATTTTTATCTATTATTTGACCGTACGTGTTTTGGTTTTATTTGATGCGAAGAAAAGATTTTGCGCTAAAAACGCATTCAGTTCGAGCCTCCGAGGACCGACATTTTTGGAAGATGCAATAGCAGACGGACCGGACGAGATAATCGGAACACACTTTTCGACAAAAGGCAGCAGGATTTCCGAGAAGAAACGCGTTAAATGGGTCGCGTGACATTAACCGGACTACTACGAAATCGCAATCTGGCCGCGCCAGATATCCTTGGCAGCTCGGGAGGGATGTTTCGATGCTGCTAGGGACACGCAATAAATTTGTGTACGGATGATGAGCTTGGGTAAATAGAGAAGGCAGTGTGGTGGTATTGATTTCAGTGGTATATTACTCGGAGTGGCGAGAGCAAGGGGGTCGAGGGGGGCAAAGGGGGTGCGAGGTGGCGTTCTAGGGTGGCGGCGGAGGAGCGCGGTTATGAGGGAGACCGAGGCGACGGGTGGCGGGGGAGGAGGGTGACCAAGAGTGCGGGAGAGAAGACCGAAGGAGACGACGAGGAAGAAGGTGGCCGGCGGGTGGAGGCTGTCTTCCACCCCTTAACCCGCTCGTTCTAGCGTTAAATATGATACAAATGTTATCATCCCTTCTATTCCGTTCTCCTGTTTCCCACCCGACGGCGGCGGTGGCGGCGGCGCGGCGGCGGCGGCACACGAACCACGAGCGACCATCCTGACCCCCCTTGGGTCCCTCCACCGCCCTCCTCAACCGGCCTCGCGTCCTTCGCTACCACCGCCACCCAAACCCCTGCCTCTCATCTCTCTCTCTCTCTCTTTCTCTCTCGCGCGGCGCGCTGTTTCCTCCGTCGACCTCTTCCCTCGTTTAACCCGGGGATAGCGCGGGGATGACGGTATTAAGGGCAGCTCTATTATTCGACCACCCAACCACTCGACTCTTCGCCTCGAGAATTCTCGAATCCTTTTTTTTTTGCCCGCGCCTCATCCTCCTTCTTCTCCACCACTTCGGCTCGTTTCTTCCTCCGCGTTCCCCTCTCCCCTCCCCACCCGTCTCGTCTCGCTCTTCGCGCGTCTACCCTATAGGTACTTTTCTGTTACGGTCTCTCTCCACTCTGGATCCCTCTCCTCTCCTCCCCTTCTTGCTGTCGAGGTCCTGTACCCTCGTTCCGCGCCAGCCACCTTCTATCGAGGTCCTCTGTAAACAAACGCACGAGAGCGAAAGAAGAATCGAAGGCTTTCCGTGTTCCCTCGTCCCGCCGTCTACTACTACCAGCACTTCTTCTTCTTCTTCTTCTTCCTCTTCCCCAGTCTCGTCTCCCGCTGACTTTCGCAAAGTTAAGCGAGTGGCTACGATGGGAAAAGCGGCGTGTCCACTCTCGGACGGGAATGGGATTATCCGACCATACGAGCGCCCGGCTATTGCGTCGCATACGAAATCCGTCGCGTTTACCGATTGCAAATACGCAGGGATATCATTTGCACATCGCCGTTTAATTCTCGCTGCGAGGCGTAAACTCTCGTAAAATTCACATGCAAATTTAATTACTCTTTGTACAATTTTGTAAAACTCCAATTTCGTAGCCTTTAACGTGAAGCGGCTGCAACGCACGGCGTACCAGAGAAAATGTGTGAGTGCCGGCACTCGTTGGGTGCCGGTTATAACTCGAAAATCGATTTCTCCGACATATTTTACTTCAATAAAGGAAACAAGAGACGTACGAAGGTTTTAACCGACTGAGAGGAATTAGTACACGCTACGCGTCTTCTGACGTCGCGGCGTATCCCCGCGACGATACGAAGTAACGCGGTCGAGTAGTGTTCAGTGTATTCGGTCTAAGGCGACGACGCGCCAACGTCAAGCATTGTCCCATATAACTTTTACGGGGATGGCCGCTTTTATGTTTCGCAGCGAGGACGCAGTGGAAATGTATTAAAGCGATTATGTCTCGCGCGCGCTCGATGTATCATGGAGAGGGCGACGTATACGCGGAGGGACGAGCACGAGTCGTCGGCAGCAAAAATCGACGTTCACCGCCGAGAATTACGGTAGGTCAGAGGTGCTTGTGAAACGAAAGAAAATAACAAAAAAATAATGATAATGCATTTTCTGTCTTTGTATGTACTCCGAAAAGCATTAGAAACTTTCCCGAGAATGTCGAAGATCGAATATGTGTCGCGACCAAGGGTTGGAGATGCGATCAAGATCACCGTTGATCACATTGACGTCATAATGTGAAAGAAAACGCACGCGCGATTACCGTTAATGACGGGTGCCGAAATAAATGACGGGGAAACTGACTTCGGGAACTGGCTCAAAACTAACGTCGCGAACTCCGCGGCAAGTACGTCTCTTCGGTGCAATAGTAATCTCGGCTTCGGACTTTGGAACTCAGAATCCGTTTCACAGACAGTCCGCTTCAGAGCCCGGAGCCTTTGCTGAATGCGCTCCTTAATGCGCCCCTTAATGCGGGGACTTGTACGCGCGCGTCGCGGAAATTGACGCGTTTCGAGGCTGCGACCTGGAGGGTGATATTTCTCTTGTTTTCCCTCTCACCTTCTTTTCCTCCCTTCGCGCGCGCGGCGACGGGCGGTGAAAATGTATTAAAGCGTTTTTCCAAGCGCGGAAAGACGCGAGAGAGATGAAAGGGTCATCGGTGGGGAGAGGGGAGAGGGGGAGGGGCAGAGTGAAAAGGAAAAGAGACGAAGACGCAGAGACGAGAGAGGGCGAAGAAACGGAAGAAAAGGGTAGCAGTCGTTGACGGAGAACGGAGGTTGGGGGGGGGGGATTTAACTCTGGGAAAAATGGTCGTGGGGTGGAGGAAGAAAATAAAGGGGAAACGGTTCGTATGAAAATGTAATTAGGGGAAGCGTGGAAAAGCTCAGCTCATTGCGGCCTCCACCCTTTTATTCCGCCACCTTTTCTCACTTCTTCCGCTCCTCCCTCTCTCTCTCTCTTCTTTCCCCTCTCTCCTTTTCGCACGCGTTTCCGCCTTTTATTTCCTTCGGCTCCTCTTCCACCTTCGCGCGATCCTCCCCCTCTTACCGCCAATTATGATTCATTAATCGCGGCGTGCGCGCTGATGGCAAAATTTATCAACTCGCGGGTACTTTACACTCGCGATACGACTAACGCGATCGCATTTATTTCCCGTACGACGCAAACCTCTTGCGTTAATTTTTGTCGAATACAAGTTTTAAATTTGACACAATTTTTTTTTTTAGCAATTACCGTTAAGCGGATAAGTTATAATAGAGGCGAATTAAAATCAAACATAAACATCAAATGATAGAAAGATGAAGAATCGGATCGTATCACGTAAACTTTTTCAATTTTTTTCTTATACAAATATAAAATTTTTTTCTTTAATATAAAATTAATATATATTATAAAATAATAATATCACAATATATATAATAGCCACACGTAGATTAAAGTGTTATAATACCAAGCCACTACCGTGTCTCCTGATAAAATACTTGTAGTTTTAAAGTTTTCTAAAAGTATTCGCCACAAAAAGATATCTGCAACGAAACAATTGAATTTTCTATTAAGTACTTTTAAGTGCTTTTATCTCTGAAAATAGGGAATACAAGACTGATACCACTGTTCCACGGCTCAGATATCGTTACCGGCGGCAGGCGTTCGATT